GTATAAACAGTTGCGCTGAATCAATTATTAGCTGTGATGAATTGATACCTCAGATAATCATCTCAGTATTCAGACGCAACAAAAATGGCCATTTACTGAACAAACAACATAATCAGAGCAGTAATTAAGCCAAAACTATCCAAAAATTAATCATATTTGCATTTAAGAAGAAAAATCTTCTTTGGTTAATGTCATAATGTTCTACCCAGAAATTCTCAAGTGTCAGTTTTAGCTTCACCTGGTTACATTATATAAAGTAAAAAATAAGTAAAAATCTCCCATTAAAAACCATTCGCATCTAATGAATAATCAGTTAATACAAGAAAAATAATCAACAGATAAACTCTACATCGTATTTACGTTATGCTCCATCGCCACCTGCTGGTGGCCCCAGGAATAGGCGTATGAAGTGTTTGCCAACGGACACAACAGACAGGCGAAGTGTGGATTCGAACCGGCGACTCACCGATTACGGGACGATGCTGTTTGACAGGGGAATAGTTTATTGATATGTCATAAAGGTACCTCAGGGATAAGAAATATATTTAAAAAGAAGATATTGATATGCCAATAAAGTTATCTACATCTGAATGTAAAATATTTAGAAAGAAAGTAAAAAGTTATGAAAAATTAGGTGGGTAATAAAATACATAGAAAGTATTTATATAGGACACAATACAGGTGATGTAGTGAGAGTTAGAAAGAGGGATAATTATAAAAGGGAGACAGGAGAAAATTATAAATAGAATAAAAACCAGTCAAAGTTTTTAAATGAAACTCTTTTCAAGATGGGGAAACATCTCACTGGTTTACGATGGAACATGTTTTTATTAGTTATAGACTAAATGTAAAACAAAGAGGATTATTAAAACAGAATTAGGTTTGAATAGGGAATTGAAATTTGAGAATGTGGTTGAGCAGTTAAATAGTATTGAGGGCGAAAAGACGATATTTTTTGTTTTTTTAAAAACACTGGGAACATAATGAGAAATTGAGGAAAAGATTTTACAATCCAATAGATGGCAGTAGTGCAACAAAAATGGATGTTAAATTCTAAAGAAGAAGAGCAGGAGAACAATGGCGGTGCTTTCAAATGCGGATGCGCGAGCTCAATTGTTATGGACCCAGTTTAACGTCTGATTATTCAGCGCTTCAGAAACTAAACTCTTAAAAGTTTTGGTAAAGCGGATTAAGAAAGTTAACGTTAGTAAATATGGACTCGAATAAATCGGCGCCGTTCCTTTCCAGAAAAGGTTGGCAGGTTTAACTTGTACAAACGGCTAGTTTATGTGTCTGTTTGGGCTTGTTTTGGCTAGCAGATAGCTAGTAACTGTTAGCTAAAATAACTGACGCGTTACCTTATTGTTTTCTTCTTTGTGTTTGTTTGGATTCACTCAAAGTGTAAAACGACGGTTCTTTTTAGATGTGAGTTTGTTCCATACTAATACTGAAATAAACAAGTTAGCACAACGCTAAACTTAGCAATTCACTGTTAGCTTCTATGAGAACATTTGTTTGCACAATATCATCTTAGAATGTCAGAACAACATATTTTCCTCTCTTGTAGGTTCAAGCTGCTTTTTCTACTTTCAATGACTTTTTGATGATGTTTTTCTTCACACTTTTGGTTCTTATTCTAATTTTCTGACCCATACTTCATCGATTTTGTCAGTTGAGGACTGACTTGCTTTAATTTCTTTGTATACATGGGTTGCATTAGCTGTTACCGATATTTGTTATGAATTACATTGCAAAGTTCACATTAGAAATATTACAACTGATGACGTTTACCCACAGGATGCCTAACAAAGTGTAAAAATTTTACTTCAGAAAAATGTCATAATTGTTGAATAAATAAGTTAATTAAAGCTCTTGGTAGTCTGAAACCTTTGAGGAATGTGCCAAATTTTGAGAAAATGTTTCCATGCTGGATCATTCATTCCCTCAAGTGTCCCAGAGATTTGTGGAAGTAATGCTCCATGCAGAGACCCAACCCTTTAACACAGTTTATAGTTATTCAGCCAGGAGGAGCTGAGGCAAACATAAACTTGTTAAGTGATGAGATCTTAAACCCAAATTATTTGAAGGCCATAAGTAAACATTGATTTTCAAAGTAAAGTTTGGAACTGCATTGTTTTAGAATAACCAGACTTCTGACTTTGCGTCACAGAGTTGCGGAAACAGCAGCTGATGGAATACTTGGCAGCAAAAGGAAAGCTGAAACCTCCAAACGTCACGTAAGCATAAAAGGAGGAATGCCCAAAATGTTGCTGTGAGTTGCAATGCCACAGGCCCTTAGATTGCTGTTATTCTTTTCAGGCAATCCCTACACAGAAATTCTCACAATCAAACTGCGGTAAAAACCTCTCTGAAGGTAGGGTGTGTTTGTGCGAAGGGCTATTATTAACTCAAGCCTATTAGCAATCAGAAAAAATAATTTTACTTTTACTCATAATGGAGTGTCAATCAACCCAAACATTCTGAAGTTTGGGTGTAAAGTAGGACTGCATAATAATATGATTTCTACATAAAAATAACCATCAAATATAGATAACAAACATACTTGAAACAGTCATAAAAACAGATAAAATTAATGAATGTTAAAAATTGTATTGCCTTTTTTCTCTATTTAAATGTTTCTGTTAATTATAGTGTATAATGAATTAATTACATTCATATCGAAAACAAAAATAAACTACATTTTCAATTCAAGAAGCATTTTTGCTACTAAGTTATTGAGTAAATAACACGTTTAGTCAAGAAATAATTGTGCTATTACTTTTTGTAGCAAATCTCCAGCACTTGAATTAATTAGCTAGTCTTGACGGGTGATTTTCATTTATTTCTTTGATGAACATCAACCAGGATCATCACTTCAGTCACCACAGTCACTATGAAAACTAAAACATATACAAATATTAGAATGCAAAACATAAACTTTCAATACAAACAACAAACAAACGTACCTCTCTGCTTTCACTGGGTACCACTAAGTGTTCATTCATTTCTTTGGTCCAAACATTTTGACAGTTCAAGACATTCATTGGTACAAGGATTCTACCCTCTTTTATAGGGCCTGCCCTCACGAGCTACAGCAGCCTGGGAGGTCCATACAAAACAAAATCCTAAAACATTACAAAGTGCAAACACCATTAAACAAACTATAAACCACCAACACTGCTAATCAAAACAAACATCAATAAACAACCTGCGACATTCTTCATTTAGAAAAGTCACTTTAAATAATTTAATTTAAATAGTCTACACAATAATTTAGGCAATTTATTTAAATAGATCACAATCCATTACACTTTTAATTACTTTTATTAAAAGTAATAAAAGATACTTATTACTTTTAATGTGTTGTTCAGGTTAATAAACCTGAATAAAGTTCTGTTTCCTGTGTTTCAGGAATCGCTGATTAGTCATGAAACTTCTTTAGAAATGTGAAATGTGTACATTCACTGTTTACTGTTATTTGTTTTTATGGTTGACTGTGGCGTCACCAACAAAGCCATTGCAGAGACAAACTGGATGGTGTACGTGCTGAAAAATAAGTAGTTGACTTATTTGTTTTTCACAGGTTGCTATAGGAAAAGAAAACAAAGCTCCACCCGACAGGATCACTGGGTGTTTCTGACAAAGTAAATGTGACAACAGGAAAACAAACTGCCATTTGCTCATCATCCAGCAGCGTTTCAGCACAGACAAAAGTTAATCAAAATCCCCTGCTCAGGAAAACATACACTGTAATGTCTTCCAAATCCAGTTTCATTCCAGCTGCAACTCAGAAAAATCAACCCGAACCAAGGAGTAGAAACCTGAGCAAGGTGCAGTTAAATGGACGTTGTTTCACATGCAGCAAAGTCAGAACCCAAACCAAGCATAGGCTCAAGTCGGGCTACGTTACGCCCACTGGACATGGCGAGCTTCCGGATAAGTACCGGCCCACTCGTTAAGACCAAAACAGGGCTTGTACCTGCAGCGATCCAGCCGAGGAATCTAAAATCAAACGCATCACTTCCACCTGGCTCAAAGCGTCAGACGTTCACTTCCTCCACTGTTGCTAAGAATTATATCGTGATTTCTGGTAATATTATGACTTTATTCTCAAAACATAATGTCTTCAATCTTGTATTATTTCAACTTTATTTTAGTAACATAATAAAGGATTTTTTGTGCAGGTGTAAAAACACTCAAACCAGCTGTGATGTGAACCAAACAGGTTTTCTGTGTGAACAGAAGGAAACAAACAATGTTCCTCCGGTGAAATGAGAGAAAATGACTTGTTATAGTTCTTACCAAACTCGGTGATGGTCATTGGTATGTTGACAGATACCTGACTGAATGTCAGGCAAGAAAACAGGAAGTGGTCTGGTGGGATTAAACTTCACTCATTTTGGAGTTATTATTATGTAGTATAACTAAAATGTATTTCTAGTATAATGTACATCTTTGACAAGATTAACCAGCAGGTTAATCCTCCTGCTTTACCAGCTAGTTCTTATAAAACAGTGGAAGCCCATGAAGTCGAAGAGCGAGGTATTATTTACTCTGTGCTATAAAACAGAAACCGGCCCTGATGGTCCGCATGTTGTGGTGTGACGAATCCTGCGTGTCAGACCAGGTGTTATTGTTGCTCTTAACTATTTTGCACTTTATTTTGCAATCAGCCTCAGTAAGTACAAGGTTGCATCACCAGTAGCAGCAGTGAGCCGTCCCATATCTGGTCTGAGAAAATGTCCCGCTCCAAGTGTCTTTAAAAAGCCAGCAGGTCAGCTCAGACAGACAGAACATCAGCACCACTGATAACAAAGCAAACCCAGCAGCACAGCTTCTCTCGCCTTCTTCAGGTAAACTGTTCTTTACTTGTTGGAGCTTCAGCTGCAAATATTGCTAGAAAGCTAAATGAAGGTATTGATTTAGCTTCTGCTGGTTTCTACAAACTTGAATTTAGGCAACTTTTAATTTTTGGTCTTTTTTCTCCCCATATAACTTTTGTTTTTAAATCACGATCCATATGGAGTCCAAGAAGAACTGCAGCGTCAGCCAGATGTGCACCAAGGAGATGCCCAAAGGAGCTGATTTGGAGATTTCCCATCAGGCCCCATCCATGAGGCGCGTCGTCAACCTGATCATCGCCATGGAGAGACTGAAGGTCGGCATGGCAAAGTCGGTCCTGAGCCCCAACTTAAGCAACAAAGGTAAGGTAATTTTATTTATATAGCACGTTTTCAGCAACAGGTAATTCAAAGTACTTTTGACGAAAGCCTGCTCTGCATCATGCTGGAGAGCGTGGTGGAAGGGAAGCTCAGATTCTACTTTAATTCCCTCTAAAGTTCAACAAAGCTGCAGTTTTCAAAGATTACAGAGTTCAAGCTTTGTTAGATACTAAGGATGCACCGACCCAATACCGATACCTGAGCTTTAATATCAGCTGATGCTGGTCGGATACAGAAAAGCAGTGCTGAACTGTCTTAAAACTAGAGATGCGAGTCTTTCAGCAATTTGATTCTGATTTTTAAAATCACAATTTGATTCACAGGTGATTTTTTTTTTTTAAACGGTGCAAAGACTGTGTTTAAATTATTTGACTGACAAGAGAAAGATGGTGTAATTGAATGGAACATTCATTTTAAGCCAATTGTTAGAAAAAAAAACTTTTGCTTACTGATTTGATACATTATGATTTCACACTTTAAACAAAAATAAGTTTGTGCATAAAATTCTACAACTTAAATTGTCAGTGTTATGTTAGCTTAGTTACCTTTCTTTTTCTTAAGCAGAAAATTTCTAAATATTTAAGATTAAGCAGACTAAAATTTCAAGAAATTACGATTCTTAATTGAATCAAATTTTATTTTCTTTTTTTCAATTTGATTGAAAAAACTCTTCACCACTACAGCAAATTTAAATGCAATTAACAGCTTCACAATCTAGGTCAAACATGTAAATACAACTTTAGTCAAAACAGCCAATGTAAAATAAATAAAGAAACTTGACTGACTAAAAAAATAAAGCAAACTTTCTTTCAAATGATTAAGAAAGTGCAATTAGGAATTAGTCCATCTTTAATAAATAAAATAGCAAACTACTTCTTCATTTAGAGAGATTGATCTTTGAGAGGACTTCAGCTGAACCGAGTCAGTTCTTCAAGAGGGAAGAGCATCCCTGCTCTGTGACAGACGGACCTAAAAGAAGCCTGGTTCTGGTCCGGAACAGCATGAACCTTCTGGCAGTGACGCTGACTGGAGGCAACGACAGCCGCAAAGTAAAACCGGATTTTAATTCTGCAGACATCCCTCTTCCTGTCAGATCAGATATTTAGACTTTGTTTTTAAATTAAACTTAAAAACTTAAAATTAAAAACTTAGGCCTCAGTTTTTAATTTGAAGCATAAACTGAGGGAAAAAAGTTAAGATGCAACTTAATTGATAGTTTGTGTTGCTTATAACTTCAAGGAAACTTTTATTAAATATAGAGAGCACTGCAAAACCCAAAATCTTACCAAGTATTTTTGATGTAGTTCCTAGTGCAGTTATCCCAGTACACTTGAGAGGAGTCAAAACTAAAGTTAAAGTAACTTTTAAGCAACATGTTTGAAGTTAATAATTCCTCTAATATTGATAAAAAAAAAAAGTATCAGCTTCATTGGCAGATTATTTCGATGAGCATTTCTTTAAATGAAGTAATATTGGAAATATTGGACAGGTTGATACTTGTACTTTTTGTCAAATTAATCTGCCACTTTTTTAAACAATATTATATAATTATTTACTGATAATCTTCTAATTCTTGCTGAAAAATTACTTGTAAGTTAGTTTTGTTTTATTTCAAGTGCACTAATATACTTGCATTAGAAGCTGGACCAGAAAATATTTTTTTTAGATTTTGTACTTTTGCAGTGAGGATGACTTTTCTTCAGTTATTAACATATTTTATTAATTTTGTCCACAGTTTTCCTGAACATGGCGAATTACATTCACCTGTTTCCCGACACTGGGCTGGGCCAGCCTGTGGTTCTGGGCATCAGAGACACTAACCTCTACCTGTGCTGCAAACAGGTCGGCGACACACCAATTCTGCACGTGGTGGTAAGCTCCTCCTACTAATCCCACTGCCAGTGATCTGCAGACATCTGAAGGTTCCAGTGAAAAACTTCCTGACTGATATTTTCTCTTGTTTATTTCCAGGAAGTGGGGAACAAAATGAGCCTCTCTACGATCACCGCAGGGAGCGACATGATGCGCTTCTTGTTCTACAAACAGGACACGAGCCTGAACGTCAGCACGCTGATGTCCGCCTTCTAGATCCCTGCCTTCATTGATCAACCACCTCTTCCTCCTGCAACACCTTCTTCACCATCAGGCCAGCTCTGGGGTTCGAAACACCAAACTGTCCTTTTCTCTCAAAGGTTCCTTTTTTAGTTCTCAGCGTTAAGGAAAGATTGGCTAGATTATTGATTTTACTTATTTGATTATTTCTTCTACTGACTTAAGCTGTACTGACCCTTGCAAAAATGCTTTACTAATAAAATATTTAGCATAAAGAAAATATTAAACATGTTGTGGACATTCAGTTAATGAGTCACCTCAAAGTTCTTGGTTGTAAAATAGGTATGATGTTTGATTCTGCAGAGGAAAAGTAGAAAATATTGTATAGTTTTCTTTTCCTTTTAGGGCTGTTTAAAGTTAATTTTATTACTTTCTTAGAGACCTGTTCAAACCCAAAGCAAATACATGAGTGAACAAAGGTCATTCTCAAACAGGGTCTTCCCATATCAGTCTCCTCCTTTAAACATTCCAGAAAAAAAATTCATGCTTCAGCCAGAGATCTGGTGGTTTTCTGCCTCAGCGATTCATCGAGCAACTGATTCCCGTTATAAACACACTGACACAGAAATCTGGTGTCAGATGATAACTGTGAGTTTGGATCTAAAAATTGCAGGACTATCTTGTAGAAAAAACTCTTTTAGAATACCTGAAATATTTTACTTCTAAAACTTTGAGTTTCCTAATCCTGTTCTATTTTAGTAATCTAAGATGCATGCAAAGTAGTATGGTTAGACTAGTTCAGAACATGCTGTTAATACTTAAAATAAATATCTTAATACATTTGATTATACTTCTAGAAGAATTGTTTTCTAAAGGTTTTAGTGTTTTACTGAACTCCTAAACATACAGAATTTGACTCATCCTGTGAACAGGCAGACCCCCCCCTCTGCCTGCAGACCCCAGGGGAGCACAACACCCGCCTATCTGAAGGCCCTCCTTAATGATTTATGTAAGTTCAGTCAGCAGTTGTTTTACTTTGGATCTTTATCTAAGTCTACCCAACTTAAAATCTACTCAAAATATTCATGCTACATCTAATATTTCATATGCACAAAGGTTAACTGTTTCTAAAATTAATATGACCAAACTTATACTCCCAACACTGGACAGCCAGCTCAACTTTGCTAAAAACACTGTTTTTAAGAACTGTTAAACTCTTATCTTTTAAAAAGATCTAGTGATCGTAACAACCTCTAGATAGGTAGAGGTTGTTGAGTTAAAATGTTAAAACTTAACATTCTAACTAGAGTTTTAACTCAACCCAACTTAAAACAACATTTTAGGTCAAGTTTTAACTTTTCGTCTCCTGAGCTGGTTTGGTCACATGAGCTGCAGACTAACAGACAATCTTTTAAGAAAACTTTCAATGGCAGGTATATCAGCAGAAAAACATGTAGTTGCTCCACAGAGTGAGCGCATCTTATCATTCCAGTAATGTGTCTTTAACTTAAATGAGAAACAATATTTGGATATATTTTAATCAACCTCTAACAGCTTTAAACTTTAGAACCTGCCATACATTTTAGTGGAATGAATTTTCCATAAAGAAAGGTCAGTTAATCCAGTTTGATTTACCTGACTTGTTTTTCAGTTGCAGAAAGCTTACAGAGTATCAGCAGTCGCGCTGAATCAATTATTAGCTGTGATGAATTGATACCTCAGATAATCATCTCAGTATTCAGACGCAACAAAAATGGCCATTTACTGAACAAACAGCATAATCAGAGCAGTAATTAAGCCAAAACTGTCCCAAAATTTATCATATTTGCATTTAAGAAGAAAAATCTTCTTTGGTTGTAATGTCATCATGTTCTACCCAGAAATTCTCATGGTTACATTTTTTATTTTTTCCCACCAGGAAAACCAGGAATCAAACCCACGACGGCCGTGTTATGGACTCAAGGCCTCCAAACATGGGTCGTGCTATCCCCTACGCCACCACAGCACGCACTTCACCAGGTTAAATTATGTAAAATAAATAAATAAATAAAACATGTAAAAATTGCCCATTAAGGACCATTTGCATTAAATTAATGATCAGTTAATCCAAGAAAAATAACTGAACATTGTGTTTTGCTTCTCAGAAATATGAAATCAACAAACACACACACAAACGTGTAATCTAGCTTTCACACAATGCTGGTGATGGAGGCAGCAAAACACAAACTGGTTGCAAAAAGAAAACATCCAACTGTTAGCCAAGAGTCTAAATGAGAAGACCTGAAACATCAATGTGGTTTGTCACTTGTTTGTTGAAATGTCAACGGTTCAGCCTTCGCATCATGAGTTGCATCTGAATCAAAAGGTTATGTGAACGTCACAACGGTAGGGTGTTTGTCAGTAAGTGTCAGTAAAACAATTAATATAAAGGCTTTTAATAACTAAAATGCTATAAATAAATTCACAGAAGAAGAGTGACATTCTAGATTATTGAACTTACAATTACTGTTGACAAAGGCTTTGACAGGGGAATAGTTTATCAATGTGTCATCAACTACACAAAGATGCCTCAGGGATAAACGCAATAGAGTACGTGCTGAAAAATAAAATCAAGAGACTATTTTCCACTGCCGATTGTAACGTGGAAAGAAAAAGCTCCTCCTGACAAATTAAGATGACAGGTTTCAAAGTTCAACGTTTGATCAGTTTAGTCAGGACTCTCCAGAAGACGAGTGTTTGTTAATGTCTGTGAAAAGGTGAAATGACAAAGAGTGAGAAGATGAATAATTAGCCTTTAATTAGACAAAGTTGTTTCTAGGGATCATTAGCAGCTGACTTAAACATAGTGGCAGAGATATAATGAAGTCACGCAACATCTCCATGTACTATTAGAAAGCAATTAATCCACCAGTTATACAAATGCATACTTTTTAGATGATAAAGTTAAAACAAATTTAAAAATAATGTGTTATTTGCTGATTTGCTATAGTTTGTTAGGTTGACTATAGGAACAGAACAGATTGCTATAGTCCGTTAGGTACTGTACATACAGCAGAATCAGGTCATACACAACCAAAAATGGTTAAATAATCCTTATCCAGTTTACATGATCATTATGCTACATTACTTTGTATTTTGGATTAGTGTATATTGTATATATATTGATATGTTGAATCACATTTGTTTAATTATTCAGCTGACTTTTATCCATAAAATGTAATTTAATTGAACTCTGTAGATCTTGCTTTGTATGTGTCTCATTTTAATCAATTTTTTATTTCATGAATCTTGACAAATGTTATATATCATAGGCTCGAAGCGCATAGCGTTTGTTCTAACAAATACGCCCAAATTTTGTACAAAATGTTTTTCATAGTAATTGGCTTTTTTAACGTGTTAAGTAAACTTAAAGTATATATATATCCTCCTGTATATATATATATATATATATATATATATATATATATATATATTATATATATATATATATATATATATATATATATATATATATATATATATATATATATATATATATATATATTTATTTTGTTAAGGAGCAAAAATGCAAAATACCAGAAATGTCTGTCCTCATTTCGTGGTTTGTTTACTTCTTACCCCAATCAGCACGATATTTGTGCGCAAGCGCATTGTCCTTGGCAATATTTTTTTTTTTATTCAAACGTTCAAACAGTCCAATCAGTGAAGAGCAGGAGAACACTCGCGGTGCTTTCAAATGCGGATGCGCGAGCTCAGTTGTTATGGACCCAGTTTAACGTCTGATTATTCAGCGCTTCTGAAACTAAACTCTTAAAAGTTTTGGTAAAGCGGATTAAGAAAGTTAACGTTAGTAAATATGGACTCGAATGAATCGGCGCCGTTCCTTTCCAGAAAAGGTTGGCAGGTTTAACTTGTACAAATGGCTAGTTTATGTGTCTGTTTGGGCTTGTTTTGGCTAGCAGATAGCTAGTAACTGTTAGCTAAAATAACTGACGCGTTACCTTATTGTTTTCTTCTTTGTGTTTGTTTGGATTCACTCAAAGTGCAAAACGACGGTTCTTTTTAGATGTGAATTTGTTCCATACTAATACTGAAATAAACAAGTTAGCACAATGCTAATCGTAGCAATTCACTGTTTACTCTGAGCGCATTTGAGTAAAGGACTATTTCACTGTTTTTGATGAAGTCCACTTTTAAAAACATTTGAAGTTGGTACTATTTTGAATAATCAAACTTGACGTGGACTATTTTATGCATCATAAATATTCATATTCATATCTGTTTTTGTGAGCCTAATCTGTGGAAACTTATCACAAAACAATTAAACTGTAGGGTTTGCATTTATTCAACATCAGAACCCACCTACTATTTTTTCATGGATATGTAATTTATTGATCATGTTTCTCAGTCTATGCAATATTATTATGTTTGCACAATATCATCTTATAATGTCAGAAAAACATATTTTCCTCTCTTGGAGGTTCAAGCTGCTTTTCCTACTTTCAGTGACTTTTTGATGATGTTTTTCTTCACACTTTTGGTTCTTATTCTAATTTTCTGGCCCATAACTTCATCGATTTTGTCAGTTGTGGACTGACTTGCTTTAATTACTTTGTATGCATGGGTTGCATTAGCTGTTACCGATATTTGTTATGAATTATATTGCAAAGTTCACATTAGAAATATTACAACTGATGACGTTTTAAAACTTATTTCACCCACAGCATGCCTAACAAAGTGTAAAAATTTTACTTCAGAAAAATGTCATAATTGTTGAATAAATAAGTTAATTAAAGCTCTTGGTAGTCTGAAACCTTTGAGGAATGTGCCAAATTTTGAGAAAATGTTTCCATGCTGGATCATTCATTCTCTCAAGTGTCCCAGAGATTTGTGGAAGTAATGCTCCATGCAGAGACCCAACCCTTTAACACAGTTTATAGTTATTCAGCCAGGAAGAGCCGAGGCAAACATAAACTGGTTAAGTGATGAGATCTTAAGCCCAAATTACTTGAAGGCCATCAGTAAACATTGATTTTCAAAGTAAAGTTTGGAACTGCATTGTTTTAGAATAACCAGACTTCTGACTTTGCGTCACAGAGTTGCGGAAGCAGCAGCTGATGGAATACTTGGCAGCAAAAGGAAAGCTGAAACCTCCAAACGTCACTCACAATCAAACTGCGGTAAAAACCTCTCTGAAGGTAGGTTGTGTTTGTACGAAGGGCTATTATTAACTCAAGCCTATTAGCAATCAGAAAAAATAATTTTACTTTTACTCATAATGGAGTGTCAATCAACCCAAACATTCTGAAGTTTGGATGTAAAGTAGGACTGCACAATAATATGATTTCTACATAATAATAACTATCAAATAAAGATAACAAACATACTTGAAACAGTCATAAAAATAGATAAAATTAGTGAATGTTAAAAATTGTATTGCCTTTTTTTCTCTATTTAAATGTTTCTGTTAATTATAGTGTATAATGAATTAATTACATTTATATTGAAAACAAAAAGTAAACTACATTTTCAATTCAAGAACCATTTTTGCTACTAAGTTATTGAGTAAATAACACATTTAGTCAAGAAATAATTGTGTTATTACTTTTAATTACTTTTATTAAAAGTAATAAAAGATACTTATTACTTTTAATGTGTTGTTCAGGTTAATAAACCTGAATAAAGTTCTGTTTCCTGTGTTTCAGGAATCGCTGATTAGTCATGAAACTTCTTTAGAAATGTGAAATGTGTACATTCACTGTTTACTGTTATTTGTTTTTATGGTTGACTGTGGCGTCACCAACAAAGCCATTGCAGAGACAATCTGGATGGTGTACGTGCTGAAAAATAAGTAGTTGACTTATTTGTTTTTCACAGGTTGCTATAGGAAAAGAAAACAAAGCTCCACCCGACAGGCTCAGGTGGCACGATTCTAAAGAGAAAACTTTGGTGCCTCAGCGCAGTCAGGATCCTCCTAGAAGAAGATCACTGGGTGTCTCTGGCAAAGTAAATGTGACAACAGGAAAACAAACTGCCATTTGCTCATCATCCAGCAGCGTTTCAGCACAGACAAAAGTTAATCAAAATCCCCTGCTCAGGAAAACATACACTGTAATGTCTTCCAAATCCAGTTTCATTCCAGCTGCAACTCAGAAAAATCAACCCGAACCAAGGAGTAGAAACCTGAGCAAGGTGCAGTTAAATGGACGTTGTTCACATGCAGCAAAGTCAGAACCCAAACCAAGCATAGGCTCAAGTCGGGCTACGTTACGCCCACTGGACATGGCGAGCAGCCGGATAAGTACCGGCCCACTCGTTAAGACCAAAACAGGGCTTGTACCTGCAGCGATCCAGCCGAGGAATCCAAAATCAAACGCATCACTTCCACCTGGCTCAAAGCGTCAGACGTTCACTTCCTCCACTGTTGTTAAGAATCCACGGGGCAAAGGGCAGTTGGGCAGAATGTCATCTGTCTCTGGTTCCCAGGCGCCTGGTCTGGTGATTCCTACAAATTCAAGAGCTAAGAGTAAAACCGAAGCTCAGAACAGGTCTAAACCTAAACCGCTTCCCGTTAAACTAACACAACCAACCGGAAGGAGCCAGTTTAGGACTGGACTTCACTCAGCTGGGCCTTCCAAATGCAAAACTGTCAAACCAGAGCAGAGCGTGTTAACCAGTAAAACAGCAGGGCAGCCTGCTCACATATCTGAAAGTCAAGTAAAGAAAAACACTCAGTCTGTAAAAGCTGATGCCCTAACAACCACAAGGTCATCAATCAAACGCAGCTCGACAGCCGTCAAGACGGATGAGAGCGTTTGGTCCAAAGACGTGAGGAAAACAAAGGCAAACAGAGAGACACACATCATACAGAAAACATCTAGAAATGTTCCTTCAGTTCATCCGACTACAAAATGTGCAGGTGTTGCGCGGGGGTACCGAACCGCACCGCAGCCTTCCAGGTCCATCAGCCTGCTGGGTCGGACCGCGGCCACCAAGACGCCAGCGGTCATGATTAAAACTGCTCCCCAGACTGAAGTAAAGAAACTGACTGCTGCGCAGGAGGAGAGGATGTAAGCCGACTGTAGCACTCCTTCTATTTGTTAGAAAGAAGGTTAAAGTATGGAGTTAAATATCTAACCAGCAATTGTTTTACATTTGGTTGTCAGGAGGAAACTCCAAGAATGGCGAGAATCGAAGGGAATTTCCTACAAACGTCCTCCGATGGCTGCGAAAGCGCCGGCCACGCGCACCGTGTCCGTTCCTCAGCCCTTCTGGGCTTCCATGGAGCTGGAGGACGAAGCCCACTCTGTCATCTGTGCCGTGGACCGGTCCCTGGAGGACTGCATCAAGTTGCTCAACGAGGTAAACAGGGAACCGGTGGGCATGTTTTTGTTCATGTTTTAATTTTAGGCAGGCTGAAATGATTTATCCTGAGTCATTTATTGAAATAATTGACTTTTTCTTCTATCTATTAATTGTTAACTGGAGGGTTTAGACTCACAGGCCATTTGCTGAAAGAACAAGACATTCAGAAGGCAAAACTCTACAAAAAATATTTACATTTTGAATTTCAGATTAAAAAAGCCCTGTGAATATATTCGACCCAGAGTTCCTCAAGTGGCAGTTTTAGCTTCATCTGGTTCAAATTCTGTTAATTTGCACCTTTTGTTATCCAATAATTAATAAAGCAATAATCAACAGATTGGGCATATTGATAAGTCCAGTAGAAAGGGCTGAGCTTTTCACATATTGATGTTTAAATATATATGTTTTAACTGCAAATGCATCTTTTGCTGCAAAGAATAAAATGTTCTCTAAAGGAATACACATTTTAGGTAACAAAATTGAATTGTGTATTTGAATTTGCTAGTAATTTTCAATATTGCATAAGAATGACTCAGGTGGCTAAATAAATATCTGCAGAAAGCGGCAATTTTTAGTCCGATGCATCAATTAACCATCAGAATAGTCGATAACTAAAGCAAACCTTCACTGTAACTCTAGTTGCTTTTCCCCTGAGCTACTTTAATTTCACCATAAGTTATATGATAAACACCAACAATAAAAATAATCTAACGAGGAAAAACAAATTAATATCATTTAAAGGAAGCGAAGTGATGAATATCACTTTTTAACACGTGCAAAGGGCTGGAATTGGTTTGTTCAAATTAATATAACAAATGAAAATTGGAAGAAAACTCATATCTACAGTTTAGCTTCAAAGTTTGGTCCTGTGGTCAGGGCTGCCCTGCGGACCGGGTGAAGGACGTCGTCTCACGGCTGCCGGCGGTGTCTCAGAAGTTCGCCAAGTACTGGATCTGTCGAGCCCGGCTGATGGAGCAAGAGGGAAACTTGGACGTGCTGCCTGTGTTTGAAGAGGCTGTTCGAGTTGTGTTGGAGGTGAGGAGCATGTTTCACTGTCACTGGAAGAAAGCAGTAATGTTTTTGAGTAGATAATTGCAAATTCAAAATTGTTACAAAACAGTTTTTAATGACTGAAGGCTCACCATCGATCTGGGGGTGAAACACTAATTGCTTATTTGTGTTTTGCCTTTTTGTTTGTGTTTCCTCAGCCAGTGGACGAGCTGCGGACTGTGATTTTTGACATTCTGAAGAAGAAGGACGAAATCCAAGGTAATGAAGTTTCCATGGATACAACAGCTGGGCAGGCTGCGTATGTAAAAATAATAATGTTTGGTGAAAAGGCCTCACATCCCGACAGCACAGCAGCACACACGAGATGATCACCAAGAAAATCTTTTGGGTAACTAACCAAAGGCGACGCTCAGAAATTAAGCTTTCAAATTATGAGAAAAACTCAGAAAATTATAAGATTAAAGTATGAGAATAAAGTTGAAATAATGAGACCAAACGTCTAATTTCAGGAGAATAAAGTCATGATTTTACTACCATAAAATCATAATATGATGAGAATAAAGTTGTAATATTACAACTTTATCCTTGAAATTATAAATTTATTTCCATATTAAGATTTTATTCTAATTATATCGTGATTTCTGGTAATATTATGACTTTATTCTCCAAACATAATGTCTTCAATCTTGTATTATTTCAACTTTATTTGATTAATATTACAAGTTTGTCCTCATGGCAGTATAACTGTATTCTATTAATTTTACTTTTTAAATTTTGTCATAATGTGGCTCTAACATTCCGTTGGTAGCAGGTGATGAGTCACTATCAAAGTGAAGTAATTGGTCCAGGTAAATGACGGTAAACACGGCAGCATCCCAAGTGATCAATGAACCGGTTCGCCATGTCGCTCCTTCCTGTCAGCAGGGTGCTGTCTGACTTTTCTTTGTGGAAATTATGTTTTGGTCTTTTATTGTTGGCTTTAGATGAATTCAGTTGTGCAATGTTTTGTAAGCAAGTTCACATATTTTTGCAGGTTGTCACACAAATAAGTAGACTTGTGTTCAGCAGTAAATGATAGCAAAACGGAGGAAAAACGTGCTAACATTTGCCTAGCATTTCAGCAAACGGCTCAACTATTCACCACAAAAATAAAAACAAACTTCCAGAAAACTGTAAAACAGCTGAAACACTGACTTCCTTTAAATCCAGACTAAAAACCCACTTGTTTAGAGTTGTAATTGAAACGTGATAAATTACAAATTTAACATTGGCACTTGACTTGATATAATGTTCTGATTGTTGATTCTATGTTGCATGGCGTTGTTTTTGTCTTTTTTATGATGTAAAGCACATTGAAATGCCTTGTGGCTGAAATCTGCTATACAAACAAAATCTGATTGATTGATTGACTTGAAACATTGAGTAGAAGGAAAACGAGTTTATGAGATAGTGCTGGCTTTATGTACCAAATAAAATTAATCTTTTAAAAGCAAATATAAAGCATTGCTCTTTTTTTCAGGCAACTTGTTGCGTTCTTGCTGCTAAGCAGCTTCTAACTGCACTGCTGTGAAGCCTAACACTGTCAGAGTAACATTTCAAAGGTGACTTGAAGAAAATCCCTTCAGACAAAATGTGTTGCTGTCACAAAGAACAGATAAGATCCTGCAGCTCCAACCCCAGCACTAAGGCAGCCAAAGCAGACCTGTCATTTAACTGCATTTAAAAGTTGCTGAGCTAGTTGTGATTTTATCAATTTTAATTCAGCATCAGACCAGGACTCCGATCACTATCGGTGACAAAACATCTCGATTGAAGAGTCTCTGTATTTTTTTGTGATTTTTATTTTTGCCGTCAACTTAATGTTTTCTCCATTTTTCTTCTTCAAGAAAATGAAAAACTGGACGATGGCACTGCAACCACAGAAGGGTCTCCAGACTGTGGCAACGACCCACTGGTGACACCGAAACCTGTCAGAGTTCTGATCAAAGGAGAGAGAGGAGGCTCATCCGTGGTCAAGTACAAGATCACTGCGACTCCTGGGTCTGTACTTATGACATTCACTGATCAGTCCTTCATAAAACAGGAATATTTAACACAATAAGCAATTTTTTTCAATTCAAAGTATTTTGGTTATTCATAAAATGCAAAAATTTATATTCAGATGACGCTTGGAAATTTCTATCTACATACGGTAATTGTTTAGACTTGGACTTATTTTACAAAAGCCCTTGTCCACCTCCTCCTTTGGGAGCGGTCTCTGGTTCGCTTGGCGTTCACATATGATTTCAAACTGGTTCACTTTCTTGATGTGAATCAGAGTTTGATAACACATTGATGCTTTTTGTGCAAACAGACTGGAGTTGGATTAAAGATAGGACTGGTGGGAATGCAGCCTTACATTTGGTTTGACATTCAAGCTGTTCATCCTTCTCTATAGATCCAGATTCAGTTGGGTCAAGTAACCAGCAAATTTACTCAATTTATTTGCAACTAAATTGAGTAAAAAGTTTTACCACACATGGTTTCTGTCGTGTATTTTTATATTTGGAAGTGTTCGGTCTATCTCAGAGACAGTTTTGCATTCTGACATGTGGCTTCCACTGCACAACTGTTTCCGCTGCCAGACAACCAGCTGTCTGATTAGAAGCTGCTGACATCTGCTTCAAGCATTGGACCAAATACATATTGTGTCCAGTTTGAATGCAAAGCTGGAGGACTGCAAAACCAAGTGTCAGCCCTGGCTGGAGCTTCAAACTGAAGTTGAATATGATGTCAGATGTCAGACTCTGCTTTGAAGAGGGATTTCCAAACAGATGAAGCTGTTTGAAGGCTGTTTACTTCCCCTGCATGTGCATCAGAACTGCACTGCTGTAGAAACAGTTCAGCTCAGGTCCTGGATGTCCACCCCACACACAGCTGTGGTCTCACAGGTGGCCTGCCATCACAGTCCTTCACTGTGGAGCTTGTATGGATTGGCTTCTGCTAAACGGTGGGTAGTAAATTCACTTTTAGTCATGGGAAAAAAAATAAGCATGGAAATGCCTTTTTTCCCCCAGACTTTTGATGAATGCAGTAGTCTTTGATTTGTTTATATGAAACTGACTTTTTTTATTTTTTACTCCAGACATTTTAACCCAAAAGTTTAAATTCAGATTGATGAAACTGTCTGATCTGCACTGAAACGCTGTCACTGAGCTGGAACAGTCTTGACTGAAACAAATCAAACCAAAGTGTGAGGAAACCTTAGAGTTGTGTAGAAACTTGGGCAAACAGAGAAAGGAAGGCAGATGATTTTTGTTGTATTTAACCAGTGAAATGCCATAGATTATTTCAGTTGTTGGTTGTTTTTACTTCCTTAGGGGCCCAGCTAGTCATCAGAAGGAACCAGTCAGGGTCAAAGGGCAGGAGGTCCGGTTCTTCACCCCGGTTCGACGCTCCGTGCGAATTGAGAAATCATGTTTCCGATACCCGCCGTCGCTCCAGGACCACGACGTCTGCGTGAATTCGTACAGTGATCTGATCTCAGAGGAAGGCAAAGAAACCAGTGAAGAACAATCGAGGTGCTCTGGTCGCAACACACCCATGTACATTTACAGACAGAACGAGGCACTCGAAGACAAAGTTTCCGTCAAACTCGTCCTTAATGATAGTTTTTAAATTCATCAGCTTACTTCATCACACCTCTATGAATTTTAAAATAACAGACAGACAAAGTCAGACTGTTACCTCCCAAATGTTCATATTTGCAGATACAAATTATTTTTGTGATGTTTGAACTTTGCAATTAATACTTTTTTAAAATCTATCTGTACACAAAGGAAACTTTGATATTAGGTCATGATTGTTTTTTTTTTTTTTGTTCTGGGGAAAAAAAAGATTTAAAGGTGTAAAAATAAAATCTTTCTTTTTTTTTATCAGTCTTTTTACCAGAATTTGTTTATTTTACATCAGAAAATAACTTGTGGTTAGAGAGGATCAAACTCTCAGACAAGGATGAATAATCATTCAATAACAATAATTATTATGACAAAACACATAATCAATAGTTATTATGTCCAATAAAATACTCAGTCTTGTATGAACTCTGGACCAGAACCAAGCAAGGTTGGTGTCATGACCTTTGTAGAAAATTCCCTTCGATTCTCGCCATTCTTGGAGTTTCCTCCTGACAACCAAATGTAAAACAATCGCTGGCTAGATATTTAACTCCATATATGAACCTTTTTTTCTAACAAACAGACAGAGTGTCACATTTGGCTTAGTCCGTTTCTTTACTCTTTGGTTACACTGGAACAGGCTGAGTAACTCGTGCAGGAGCTGTTTTATGTTTTGCCATCGTGACTCATAACTGCTTTTAAAATTAACTGAAGGGCGTGGAGTGAAATGAGAAAATTAGTACAACTGCTAGAGAAGAAGCTGATAGAGCAGGAAAGGTTACATCACCTTTTGGTAATATTTAAAAAAAGAAAACTAATCGATAATTATTTATCAACTGATATTTACTTTTCTTTCTAAGTAAAACATCTTGCCACTTGTTAGCCTTTTGTTCACCAGAGCAGTTTTAGCCAGTTCTGACCCAGTCCAAACCGTCCAGGTTCCTCTCCATCTGGGGTGGTTCCAGCCGCGCCTACCCTGGTATTGTGCGGAAGCGATTTTTGATTGACGGTAGACTGCATTCCTTGATTGATTTACGGCCAATCGACGATTGCGTAAATCGTAATATGGCTCTGCAAACTCCAAGCAGAAACTTGGACCGGCTGACACGTCGCCTGCGGTCCGAGCGGCTCAGTGTGGAGCAGCAGAACCACCAGCGAGGCCAGAAGTCCGTCAAGCTTCGCAGCAGAATGAGCGTTATTTCGCAGCTATGAAGAACGGAACACAATGAAGAAGAGAGAAACGTTTCCGTTCTGGTCAACCTTCTGGTTAAAGTTTTGCAGAATTACATTGCTTTAGTTTGATGTTGTGAACATATTCTTTGTTTGGGGTTTTCATTAAAATAAAGTTCATGGTTGGATATTTGTACATTTTACTGTATTAATTAAATGCAAATGTTTGTATGTGTTTAAAGAAATAAAGATAAAATGCTACCATGTAGATGAATATGTGTTAATCGGCTAATTGAATTGTTTTCATTATGATAGATAAATGAAATATCTGGGTTTATTTGAGTCAGCCATGATGGCACCAAGATGGAGGATCAATTTTGACTTTATCTTGACTATTTGACATTATTAGGTGTAATAATGTTTTATGTATTGTGTTGCAATACATAAGACACAGTGCTGAGTTTATGGGATGAGATTAATCTGAAAGTGAACTACAGAGCAGGGCATTCTGGGTAAATGCAACTGAAATAAACACATGTCTATTGCTAGTGGCAGAAATGACTTGCGTTCTTTTAGACAAAAGATAAATCCTACAATCACTAAAATCTGGCGCCACTCCATTTTTATTTACGTTTCAGTGTCTAGAGGTTTTTGTGTCGTTTCCTTCAGTGGTTCTTGGTGCAGCGCCCCCACAGGCGAGAAAGGGAAATGGTTTGGTTGGTTTGATGCAGTGCAGCAGCTAAACATCACAAGTGTTACAAAAAAAATTTGTAAAAAATAATAGATTAAGCCCAATGTTGACCCTTTAAGTTGTCCCTTTTTAGCAATGGGACAACAGAACCAATGGTTTTGGCGTCTGGATCACTTGGACCCAGTATACGTGCTGATGAGTGTGAAGTGAAACCAGACTATTACAAAATCGCTTGAACACACCTGAGTTCAGGTATGAACTGTATGCAGTAGTGATTCATCAGCCTGTTGTGATTTATAACCTGATGTCATGAGCACATTTACATGAAAGATAGGTTGATTTTCGGATTGCTACATCGGAGAAGGATGTCCCACAGTCTAAATCTGTTTTATTTGGCATTTCTCAAGTTTATTAGAAAAACCTGAGAAACTGACAGGAAAAAACTTATTTGTTGAATCTAAACTCAGGCTACAGCTCAGGAGCTCAACCTCTTTACATCCAGGACCCGATGAACCAGTTACTTCCTTTTAATCAACTCAAACAGCGGTAGTTTATTCCAAAACATCATCATTATCTTGACTGTTTACAATCTCAAAGAGTAACAATCCCATATTAAGTAAGCATCTAATTTTTTGGCTTATAATAATCTTTGTTGTAATAAGAATTTTCAAGATGTTTCATTTTATGAAAAAAATAACTACAAAACAATTTACAATAGAGGGGATTTTTAGGTCTATTTTTTGTTACATTTCTTCAGATGTGGCCGAGAGGTTAAAATATTGGTGGATGACAACTTCTTTTCATAATTTTAGAAAATATCTGCACACTTTAAATTTTGAAGCATGTTTTTTGTCTTTTTTTCAATGTATGCTGGGCGTACTTCTGTCTGAATCGCTCTAGAAAAACTGAAGAGACCACTGCACTGAAAACCTGGTTATGCCACAAAGCATTGACTTCTGAACTCTTCTTGAGTTATAACTTTAGTAGTTTTGTTTCTAAACGAATATGATTTTTTTTTATTTGCGTTATTTGAGGTCTGAAAACTCTGCATCTTTTTCATTGTTCTGACCATTTCTCATTTTCTGCAGATAAATACATTTTGCTTGGAATTTCAGAGACATGTCAGTAGTTCAAAGTCAGTAATTTTACTCAAACATAAACCTATAAAGAGTAAAATAAAAGAAACTAAGTGGTCTCAATTTTTTTCAGAGCTGTTGTTGAATAAATAAATGAACATCCTGTTCACTTTACAATCACAATCAAAAGTTTTCAAGTTAAGAAAAGAAATATACACTGAATAAACTTTTTACCTTAGAAAACTGGGTAATGCTTATGAAACTTGAATTTGCTCAATGTTTGGACATTCAGAAATAAAAACATTTTTAACCCGTGTTTGAAAGCCAATCTGATAAGTTTATTTAGAAAACTTTTGAAGTTGTAATTTGCGTAAGAAACGCCCTAAAGTGACATCCGGCCCGACAGTGCCGTACATTTTGACGTTGTTGGCGCTTCCCTGTGCTGGAACCGAACCAAGAGCCAAAGCGTTTAAATAGCAACACTGTGAGACACAACCTTCACCTCTTCATTGCAACACGCACAGATCACCTTCTCCAAACGGCAGCAACTTTTCTGCTTCACAAAATGTCTCATGTGAGTATGACAGCATCTCATATTTTGACACATTCAGACTTGATGCATTGTTTTTGCTTATTATACTCTAATGTGGTGGTGCGAAGCGATTTTGCAGGAGATAAGGATCAGAAAACTAGTTTTACAGTATCTACTAATGCCAGATAATTAAGTTCTTTTGATTTGTCTTATCAGCCCTGAACTGCTGGGGATCGTTTTGAGAAAAAAAAAACAAAACGCAGATACTTACCCTGTAATTGTAAACGAAACCTAAAATATTAATAAAATTAAGTGATAATGTTACTCACTAATGGGACTCCAAATTATTTAGTCAAAGGAGAAAAATGACTAAAATAATGAGGACAAATCTAACATTTAAAGAGAAAAGAATTTTCCAATTACTTGAGGTAGCTGATATTTAAAGAATAATTAAATTGTTGTTTTTTTCTCATTTAATGTATACAGTGTTTTAACTACTGACATATTATCTTAACAAGCTCCTATTAGAAAACCCGAAGAAGAACCACAGTCAATTCATTATTATATATATATTTTTATAATGTAAACCAGACACAGACTGACTAAAATGATTCTAACTGAGCTGAAACGAAAGACGTTTGGTCTGATTAAACTTCAGGCAAACTTCTGGTTTCTACTCTGAGAAAGTCTGACTCCCTTTAAGATGGATAGAAATGATCTGCAGATACTAATTATGGTACAGACTGATCTACCTGTGCTTAGTGAACATTACTAATTGTATTTATTTCTCACATTTTAGGATGACTGTGAACAAAACCACAAGCGTACGGCGATTCATCTTATGGTGAATGGAATGTATGTTAGACCCCGACTTTCAATACCATCCAGGCAAGTTGAGCTGAGACTGGAAGACAACCAAGATACTCCAGGTAGGAAAGTGTAATGAGTTATGTTTTAGTGAAGCAGAACAGTTAAAGCTGCATGTTTGAACACCTAGAACATCTATATTTCAATAATGTAATTAATTAATTAAATTATTAGCTGTGACGTCAAAGGTGCCTGAAAATGCTAAAGACATTAACAAGCAGGTGTTACTCCTGCAAAATCAGGGAAAACTGTTCAAAATTAGTCCAGTTGTGGGGAAATGCACTGGATGGAAGAATCAATACTGATTTCTGCCTGTTTTTTGTTTTTAGACTGTGTGCAACGTTACACTTGCAATTCACAAGATGGAAAAAAATATGTGGCTTTCTGCTTCACACGTGACTCAAAATGTTATTCGCTGACGTTAGAAGGAGGAGACCTGAAGGTAAGCAAGCATCCGCTAATGTAAAAATCACAATAACTGCAAAATAATTTTTTTAATTTTCAGTATTAATATTAAAAATTAAAATATTATGGCATCCTTTAGCAGAGCCAGTGTGTCCTGAATATAAACTGTTTATTGAAAACCATTTCCAACAGCAGAACTGGTGATTATTAATCAGTGATTTATGTAAAATTACCAACAACATTAATGTTGAACTGAACCTTTAATGTTTGTTGTTTTTTCCTAATCAATTAAAATGGTTCCAAAAGCACATTTGGCTAAGCTGTTTGCTCACTTGTACATAAATTGCTTCCTGTAAGAATTGCTCCTCCCTCTGATGACGTAACGTTGAATTTCCAGCATCTATGAACTGCAGTAATTCCCTGAAATAACTAACCTCCCTGCCCAAGAGCTCACTGTAACACCTGACTAATGATCTGACGTCCCGTTAAGTTTTGGTTTATTTAGACTGATTTGACTCATCTGATCCGATCCGTGGGGAACTTCAGTTCACCTCATTCACAGCATGAAGCCATTAGAAAACGGATTGAAAAAACTCAGTTTTTAAATGTGTTTTTCTGTTTTCACAGTTGGTACCTGATCAGAGTGTAGAGCGTCCATCTGTGCTCGGCTGGTTTGAGATGGAAGACATCAAAGCTGGTGAAACCCATTATGTGAAGACAACTGCAGGAAAAATTGCTGTTAAGGACGAAAAGCTGCTCTGTATAGGAGATAGAAACCATGCGACATTCACACAGGTATATCTAAAATGAGAACTGTTGTTGTAGTTCAGGAATATTTAGTTTTTTTCCCCCATTAATAAACAGTTTAGTGTTTAGTGTGGAGAACATGAGCAGTCAGTCTGCAGTTTCTTGGCTCTTACCTTTCGTTGCGTGTTTTGCTCTGCAGGTACCTTGCAGCTAAGCTTTCCACCACCTTCGAGAAGAGTTTCCTGCTTCCTTCCTCTGAAACCAACCGGACCTCTTCCACAGTGTGGGCTGATGTTCTTTGAGTCCTTATTCTGTCAGGTTCGGTTCTGTAATATGACAAATAAATAAATATGTAAATAGACTAAGGTTCAAAATTTCTAACATTTACAAATGTATAAAAAATGTTTCTTATGTGTTGATGCAGAAAATCAAAGCTTTTCGCAATGAAAGAGACTACTTCAATATGTAAATGTAAACATATTCTATAATAAAACAATGATATATGCAAAATACTGCCTGTCAATTTCTATGTTTTTTTAAAGAGTTGGAACCTTCTGAAGGTTATTTAAAATATCTTTTACAGTTTGCAGTTAATGGCAAATAACATAAGAAGCAGAGTATCAACTGACTTCAGCCATCTTTAGATTTCTTTTACTTTTTTGTGTCGTTAGCAAAGGTCTTACAGTAATGGCATAAAAAGTTGGTGTCATGAATGTATATTTTAAATATGATGCATTCATGACCCCAAGATTCTTTCTGAGGGCTCTTTATAGTCAAGAGCATAAATAAGTTCACATTTCTAGCTGATTTTTGAACCAGAAAAAAGGACGTAGCAGGTGTGCCGCAGAACTAATGAAGAAAATCACATTTAGACAAACAAAAGTACTTCTCTGGAAATGTTTTTGGGACAGATCAGAGAGGGACTCAGTTATTTATAACAAGATGTTT